CCTCACGACCGGCTTCAAGCTACTACTCCGAAGAAGCTGCATGATATTGGCATGTGTCCATGCCTTCGGCCCCTTCTGTAACAGCGCTCCCGCTGCTTCTTCATCTCGGATCAATGCTTCATGCGTGCTGACTTGTGGCTCCTCCTGAGCCGTATCGGCGTGAACTGCAGCCACTGTGGTTGTCACCAGGTCCTTAGGCGTCTCCTGCGCAACCCCTTCACACGCTCCCGCCTCTACCGTGGACACCGTGGCGTCATACGGCACTCGATGCTGCTTCCACCACTTTGACAACAACGGACGCAAGCGCATGAAGGTACCCCTGTCGAGGTAAGGCAAACCACCGTGAATTTCCAATTGAACCCACTCACCTATGAAAGCAGAATCCTTCGGCAGCTGCAACCAAGCACCTTCGTCACTCCACACGAACTTGCATCCAACAGCTGTCAGCCTACACACTCCCGCAATGACCTCGGGACCCGTTCCTGGAATGATCACTTCACCATCCCTGGTTCTCGAGGCCTCAATGGTCTGACTGTCGGCTAACAACAACTCCAGGGGCATGGATCTAGGTGGAGCCTTAGCAGCCTTTCGGAGGACCTCGTTTGCACCAGTATCCAAAAGAACATTAGACCCGTCACCCAGATTACCAACAGCACACACCTTTCGCGCTTGTGACCTATGTTCGAACTCAAGGATTCTTGCTCGCAGATGGAGGAGCCGTCGTCTGGCCGGCTCGGGGACTGTGGCGAACTCTTCTACATGGAGATACATCAAGTCATGCAGAATCTCTACCCCATACGTGTCAAACATGATCCAACCCTCAGAGAAATCCACAAGGCTTAGCAGTTGCTGCAAGGGCATGCGCAACACATGTGTGATGTCGGCGGCAACTGCTTCAACCAATGTGTCATGATGGCCTTGCGCTGTATGCTGAAACTGATGGGCTCCAACAGATGAAGCTGATGCTACGCTAGGTCCTGTGGTCCTGACGCGTGGAGGCTGAGGGGCCTCAACGATAGCCAAGAAAAGCTCATTAAGATCATCTTCATCAACGAGCCAGGCCACAAAACCCTTTCTGGCAACATCATCATCACACATCAGCAAAATATCATAAGCAACTGCGATACTCTGCGCTTCTCCAATGAGCAGATCTCGAACCGGCATTCGTTCCGCTCGCTCCAAAGCCCACGCAACTCCTACTGCAACATCCCTACCCTCCGTGACTTGCACAAAAGGCCTAGAGCTCATGATGACTTCACCGCGCTCCCAGTGCTGAGCCCATGTGTTGAACTCCCTAGGATTCAAGTGCAAACGCCAAAGCTGATCCCGCTCTGCTCGGTGCAACCTTGCGTCCCGCATAGCATCCGCAAGCTCATCAACTAGATCATGCTCACTTGACAAAAGACTCTGAGTGCTATCAGTCGAAGCAACCGTCCCGGCATTTGACAGTGCCTCCAAGTCTGAGCTGTCCTCATCGCTAGAAGAAGAACTGAAATCACTCACCGGATTGCTTTGTGCCATCATGATCATGGAAGTCACTGCTGACGCCTTGGCCTTGGCCTTTGGTTTAGCCTTGGGTTTACCCTTCTGTCCTTCATCATCATTTGCTCCAACCAATGCTGTGGCATTAGGTGCTGCTGCAGCCTTGGGCTTAGGCTTATGTTTCTCGTCGTGGGAAAAAGGACAGTTTTTCCGATAGCATCCTGCTTCACCCCAAAACCACTTGCAAGGCTTGTCCTTCCTTGCATCAATGTTTGACTCCTTGGGTTGCGATTCTCCTGCTCCTTTGCCCTGATTTGCGCTGCTCTTTCCTTTGTCCTTTCCCTTGCCTCCTTTGTCCTTTCCTTTGCCTCCTTTGTCCTTTCCTTTGCTCTTGGCTAACACCGAAGACTGTTGCTCATTCTTGTTTGCCTTCAGCTGTTCGTCAGCTGCAAGCTGACGCAATTCCTTATCCAACGTTTCGAGGATCATCTGAACTCCTAGTTCCGTGGGACGCTGGATGTCCGGAGACAGCTTGATGAGACTCATCCTGGTACGTAATGAATCGCTTCGCTTCTCAATGTGCTTTACTAGCGTACATAGAGCTCTCATCGCTTCAGACGGGGCTGTGCTGGGAAGATTCAAAGCTGCTGCGCGCAATCTGGCTAGCTTCCACCTACGGATACTCTCCAAAGCATCTCTAGCTGATTGGGCTGGGTCAAGGTTGCGCATGTATCGCAACAAACTTGCAGCTTCTTCTTGGCCTCCAGGTTGAACTTGATGCACCAACTCCTCTAACAATGACAGTGATGTAATCTTGTTCTCTGCATCTTCAACTGCGCTGTCTTTGACCTCTGCTGGAAGAATCCGCATCAAGCTAACCACCAATCGAGCCTCATATGTCTCAAAGCATGCTTCAAGCTTTGGGGCCTCAGCAATAGGAGCTCCAGACATCCGGCTCTCATGTCTCTGGTGTGCCAAGTGAAATCGATCCTCAACGAAGGTTGCAAACTCCGGTGCAACCGTCGTGCAAACCGCCAGGATTTGTCGTTTCCATGTTGTGAAACCCAATCCCAGCTCCCAGGGTTCCCCTGGTTCTTGATGATACTTTGGAAGATCCGTCAAACATTTCCACTTTCCGTTCGGAATCTCGGGTGCCGACTTCCGATTTCCAGGCCTTGCGCCAGGACTCGGTGACCTTCCTGAGGATGTTCTCCTCCTGGATCCTAGACCAGGTGGAGGAGCAGTGAGACCCCATGGATTGAGAGGATCAACCTCTGTTCTTCCACGTTCCCACGTGCTCCAAAGCTCTGGCTCTTCTCCAGTCTGATCCCACCAAGCGGAAGAGGCATCTTGAACCCCAAAGCTAGGTGCTTGATCAGCGTTGGGCGTCAGCTCAAAATGCACTGGCTCGCGATCGTTCTGTGCGGGCATCGGATGCAATTGAGGTGACTGTGTATCCCGATGAAAGTCCTTCGAAGTTGTACCCCCTAGCTGAGCTTCCTCCAACTTGTCAGGGCCTTCCTCGATAGCGCTCACTCTCTCATCAAGCCTGTCTATTTCGGTCTGGACCTTGGGTAACACATCAGCTCGAAATTGCTCCAAACTGTTGTGTAGGCCCTCACCTTGTTCACGCTGCTGCGTAGTCAACACAGCAAGCTCCCGATCGACCTTTTCAGCCAAGACTTGCACCGCTCGTGCCAGTGAAGCTTGATCCCCGGGTTCACCCTTCAAAGGTGCATAAATGTCACGCTCTTGGGCATCCAATCTGCGCTTATGCTCTTGCATGCTCATCAGAGTGTATTTCACAGACTCATCCAGCTCAGCAACTCTACCAGATAGGGCTTCTACCTTCGCCAGTAAGCTCGCCTCTCTCTGCAAGGATTCGTCTAGCTTGTTCTTGACCTGCTGCTCCTCTGCACCTCGTTCTTCTAGGTAGCTCCTAAGGTCATGTTTGATCGCCTCGAATTGTGTGCGCGCATCACGACGATCACTCTCCCGGCCTTCCACCAGGGATTGCACTGCAGCTTGTTGTCTAACCACCGCGTCCCGAAGCTGATCCAGGCTAGCAGTTAGCACTTGACAGCCTGCTTGCAACTCTCCAACTGATCCCCCAACCGCTCCCACTGCCCCAGCGAGAACTTCAGTACGGTACTGGATGCGAGAAGAAAGCTCTATGACCGCGGCCTGGATGTCAGCCGCAAAACTCAAATCCTCACCAATACTCGTTCCAAAGGCTCGCAGCGTTTCAGCAGGTATGCTAATGCGAGTCATCTGTTGAAGCGTCACCTGCCCTCCAAGCTGCTGCTGTTCTGCCGCTGCTTGCAAAGTGGCTGGTGCAGATGCTGTTGTTGATGATGCAGTGTCATGCGTAGTTTCGAGAGGGTTTGGACTCATAACCTGTTGATTTCTGGTGTTTGGTTCAGGGGAAGGGCTGTTCGTAACAATAGAATAGTGACTAGGAGTAGGACTTGCATGATGCCTTCTAATCTGCATAGGTAAGTCATCTAGATGATCATACTTCTCCATAGTACATCGAGTAGCATGCAAGATAGCAAGGCACTACAAGGACCCTCAAACAAGCAACCCAAACCCCAATGCCCCAAGGTGCTTTTCGCACCCACTTCGCTGCGCCCTTCATAGGGCTCGTGCTTGAGCCATTCGGATTTGTGCGTGTCATCCTTAGCAGGGGTCATGCACCTGCCAGACAAGATGTGGTACACTTCTCGATTTGTGCACCTGCGGTACACTTCTCGATTTGTGCACCTGCCAAAAGTAGGGATTGGGCCCTACAGCAACATTTCCGATGCGGGTGTTGGAACGTCAAAAGGTCTAACGACGGTATTCTTCTTTCGCTCTACCTCGTGCGGTTTTTCACAGACGTTGATTGGACTTCTTGGTTCTTCTCGCCTGTCACACCTCCTTGCATTGTCTTTTTCGTTTTGGATTTTCTTTTGAACTACTGAGAACTTGACTTGCCTGCCCAACACCTGTCTGTGCTGCTCGTGCTCCAAATGGAACGCGTTGCATAAGCTTGCGCATCGATCACTACTGTATGTGTGAGGATTTGCCAACATGCCAAAGCTACTGCGACGGACCAGTGGGGCCGGGCTCTGCAAGAAATGATCTTGAACCGTTGCTTTCCCAGTGATATTCACTATGTCACTATGTCACTATGCTCAGGTGGCAATGTAGAAGGCTGGGTCGAGTCGAGGTTTTAGTTTAAAGGTTGTATGCGCTTCGTCATGACACCGATGCAGTGGGTTTTCTGTTGCATCCATGGGACCGACTCGGGACCAATCCACATGCACATGAGCAGTCGACAAACGGGAGTCTGCACACCACAGTTCAAAAATTTAGGTCGTTCGAGGAACTTTGCTTGGTAGCTGTGCACTCACAAAGCTTCTAGCCGAACTGGTGTCGCCATGATATCCCCACATTATCCCCAGTGCCACACACCTTTTCTGTTCTATCGCAAGAGACAAACTTCAGACAGCCCTTGTCGGCGGCCCTGTCTCCAGGGTCGGCGCCTATTACCTCCCAATGGCCCTGAAGGGCATCCGGGTGCTGACCCCAGAGGCCCAATCGCGGCTCTCAGCCGGAGCTTTTGCTTGAAATCCCCTAAAGTCTGGAGCCTCCTCTCTTTGGGGCACTGAAGAACAACCCGAAGGCAGCTAGCGCAATGAGGATCCTTAGGGGGGGCCGTGTTTTGCAGGCCGAAGCGCCGAAAGCCCATCTGCCGCAGCTCCCGGGCTTCGCACGCGGAGACTGGGAGTGCGCCAAGACTAGAGTCCAAAGAAGAGCACGCCAGCAGAACAGCATACTTCTTAGTGAAAGGGACAGAATCAGAATCGTGGCAGCAGTCTACGTCATCAGAATCATAAGAGAAAACAGAATTAGCATCAGAATCCGTACGTAACAGTAACAGTAAGGAAGAGGTGCAGTAGTGATACCATTGATTTTCCTAGCCAAGACACCAGGTACATTTGCATCGACCCGAAGGGTGCGAGCACCTACTTCCAGCCGGGAGCGCCCTCGGAGTCTGGACAGGCGTCTTCTTGAGGGGGCTCAGGGCTGCACAAGTACCGGGTTCCGGTTCCTTTTCTTTGATGGCCTTCTCAGCGGGCCGGAGCTGATGCTAGGTCCAGGCACCCTTGAGTCTTCCGCAGCTGTTTCGGAGCTCCGAAGAAAGAGGCCATCAACTCCAAACCTTAAGCGCCAACCAGACCCCGGCTCCTCCCGCCCCAGAGCGCAGCACACAAAAGCAGAAAGCAAGAGCAGAGAGCAGCCAGCCAGCCATCAGCCTGACAACGCCCCAGCTCGGACTTAAGTAGCTCAGAGCACGGAGCCGCAAAAGCGGCGCCTCCAAACGGCGATGGCTGACATGAACCAGGCGGGCCGCCTGGCCAGTCGAGAGGGGGGCCCTTCTCTCCTCTACGAAAGCGGCAATCTGCCTTGCAGGGCTTCGGAGACCTGCCCGGGGTTGTTAATGAGGAGGTCCAGGCCGGCCCCCGGCGCTTTGCGTGAAGTAAAGGGTTCAGCAGATGAGCCAGCGAAGATGGATAGTCAAGTGAACCGCAGCATGTCTCAAAGCGTCGTGAACTGTCCACCTGGCAGGATTGTGTGGGTGATTGGCGAGGGTCGGGTCTTGTGTGTGGTCTCTGAGTGTTGGGCTGGGGTCACTAGAGGAGTCGCAGAACAAAGCCGTCGACGAGGTGGCAGCTAAAGGAGCGTGGCACGGCAGAACAGCTGAGCTGTCAGTTCACCAGGGCCGCAGGATGTAACCGTCAAGCAAGAGGTTTGATCCGGGGTCCATCCGCGAAGAGTTTGCGAGTCCTGAAACTCCGTGACAGGGCTTGCGCCTAAGGATATCTATACCGGTAGACCTCCGACAACAGCGACGATCCTCCCGGGCGTCAAACACAGAGCCTCCGAGTAAGTTCAAGTGCCGCAGCCCGAGTTGAGCTTCGCAAGGCGTGCTGCCCGAAGATGGGCACGCGTGTTTTTGTTGTGGTTGCGTCTCCTTCCAATTTTTAGCTGGCTGCTATATGATCTCTTTTTTCATCTGGCTCCAAGGTCCGTCGTACACTGCACGGCTCTGGGAGCACACAGCCTCCGGGTGGCAAGAGCCCTCCGGCTGCAGCGAGTTGTAGAGTTGGGGGCAGAGGGCAGCAGGGAGAGGGGCGGCGCGCTTTTCGCGCTTTCCTCAGGACGCATCATTTCTGTGCCGGGCTCGAAGTGGCCCGGCCCTGAGCTGCCGACTTGCGCACGTTCGGACTCTGGACTGCTGGGAGCCAGTCGTGCAGCGATCCCGCCAGGACTTGAAGAAAGACGCGGCGACATGCGAAGACCTGCAGGGGGCTAAGAGGGCTGCTTCTTCTTCGGGGGACGTCTCCGATCAATTCTTGCAATGTGTGCAGGTCTGAGAATAACACGGAGCGCGAGGCTTCTGGCGGTGCTGTCCTGCTTGACAGATCCTGTCCATATTTGGCGGCAAGGTGCACTTGCCCTCCACCTCGCTGACAGCTCTGACGCAACTCCAGGCGAACACGGGAGAAACCAGGGGTGCGGCATTCCGAAGGGTCGTGGCGGTCGGACCTGCCAAGCTTGCGGCGTAGCTCAATGAGGACTCGTTGAAGACTCCTGCCGGCCTTCTCTTGGACATCGCGGACTGCGGCCACACCCTTGGACTCCTTGCCTCTTCAAGCCTCAAGCCTCTCCCTGCCTCCATCTCACTCGCTCGCTCTCGCTCTCGCTCTCGCTCTCGCTCTCGCTCTCGCTCTCGCTCTCGCTCTCGCTCTCGCTCTCGCTCTCGCTCTCGCTCTCGCTCTCGCTCTCTCTCTCTCTCTCTCTCTCTCTCTCTCTCTCCCTCCCCTCCCTCCCTCCCTACCTCCTCTCGCTGTAGACGGCGAGGCTTGAAGGGTGAGGTCCGCGGTGATTCGTACAGACGCAAGCTTCACGCATACACCAGCCGCAGCAGAGGCGAGTTCAAGTTCTCGGAGCTCTTCACGAAGATGTAACTCGGCAGAAATGCCCCGAACTCGAACACCCTACAGCGGTCCCGACTACTGTTCAGGCTGGCAGAGCTGGGTGGCACAATGGCTGGCAGCATTTTGCAAGAGGCCCCCTGCTTGTCTTTGAAGTAGATGTAGGAAAAAGCACGCCCCAAAGTCATTTCCTGGAGAATGGGACGTTTACACCTGCGATGTTGAAAACGGGGAAGGTGGAGCTGCTCCTGCACGACCATCCCTATGTCACCCAGGAGCTGAAGCGTAGAAGCATCTCCTGTTATCCGTGCCTGCGACCGCTCCAGTTCTGGCAGGAGCGCACACCGTCCAAGGACGACGCAGTGGGTGAGGACGGGATCCGGGGCCGGGCTCGTGGGCTGGATCCCTTTCCTTTTCCGTCTTGGTGGTGTGCTTTTGGCTTTCGGTTCCCTTTCTCTGCCAGGCCATCGAGGTCTTTGTTTGCTCTGCAAGTCCGGGCCTCGTCGAGTGCCTTACCCTCGAGTTCGAGACCCTGCAGATTCTTCAGAAGCAAAGTAACCTCATCGAGCCTCGTCTTCAGGTGGGGAGAGCCAGGAGCAGCCCTCCCTGGCCTTGGCGCGGCTCTCCAAGAAGGAGGAGCGGAGCCGCCCGCGTGAGATGGACCTCAAGATAGCCCCCCGCAAGCCTCTTTTGACGAACCAGCTCCTGAATCTCAGACGATGGTCTGCTTCGAAGACGACGAGGGGGGGGGCGAGATCCGCTTCGCAGCAGCAGGGGCCCCGAACGAGCATAAGGTTTGCGCAGATTTGCAGATTGCAGGGTGTGGAGCGAGAGCGTCTTCACGGGTGGCTCCAAGGTGGTGATTTGTGATCGCACCTCCGCGACACAGGGCCAGGCCCTCGCGCGCCTGATTGTCGGCAGCCTAAACTCGGCATCGCCTCGAGCGATTTGAAGCCCGGTGGAGAGCTGAGAGCGAGAGCTGAAGGCTACGACCTTCATGGATGAGGACACCTTGTTGTCTGTTTCCGTGCTCTCAAACTTCGATTGAGGGTGCTGTCGTTTATCAGGAGTTCGTGTCGGTGGCACGGTCCGCCCCGAGGTCTCCACTCATCCTGGGAGTCCGGGGACCTAGCGCTGGCCCGGCAGAGAGAGGGCGAAGGCGAAGCCTGGTTCGTAGACTTTACTGCATCTTCGAGGCGTTAGATGCCCACCTGGCGCAGCTTACCATCGCCGGCTCCTCAGTGTCATCATGCGTGCAACGCGTACGCCCTCCAAACACGCAAAGCCGCAGGTCCCGACGGTGAAGCTGAACAAGGCCCCTTCTGCCGAGCTCCGGCGAAGAGGCAAACTCCGCTTTCGCCCGCTTCTGCTCTTGCAGGCGGCCAAACGCGCGTCGGGAACCCACAGCCCAAGAGGCGATTTGTGCGGTTTGTTTCGGCTTGCGGGTTGAGGTTTGTTGGAAAACGCCCTACGCAGCCAGCGCGCCTGGCAGGAGATTACTTGCTCTCCCACTCCCTGGTGTCGGGCATCCAGAGAAGGATGAGTCCGGGCCCCCGGCCGTCGGAAACTTGCTCCGGTGCCTCGAGTCATGCAAGTCTCATTGAGGCTTAGTCTCACCGGAGCAGGTCGGTTTTGCGACTGAACAACGGAACGCACAGCAGGGGGGGACTGAAACGATCTTGCTCCCGTGACCGCAGGCAAACCTGCAAGCGCAGGAAGCCAGGCTGGGGCCCCGGGTCCGGGCCGCCGAAGCGAAAGGAGCTCAAGACTCAGACTCGAGACTGAGATGCTCAGGCGCAACTCCGATGCCTCGAAAGAGTCCATCGACGAGGAGACCTCACAAACGGGACCCACCCCAGCGCTGCTCTCATCGCCCGGAGTTTTGCAGGTGGCGCCTCCCACCAGCTACTTCATCGAGGTCGATCGGCACGGCTCCCAAGAAAAGTCCGAAGCCACGGTCCCGCGGTCTGAAGCCAGTGGCGCCGAGGAAGGAGGAGGACGAAGAGGAGTGGAAGATGGAGCGCTGCCTGAGACAAGGCCACGCCTGGCTTCTTCGGCTTCTTCTCTCTTCACTTGGTTTCTCCGTGGCCTCCCCTCCCACTCCTCGCTCTGTTCCGATGCAGGACTCGAAGTCGATCTCTTCGTGAAGGCACGCGAGCACGTCCTTCTGAATAGCTGCAAACCCAAACCCAGGGTTTCAGAATTTATCATCAGAGTTCTTGTAGTATTTTTTTTTCATGTGGGTGGGTTTCTGTTTGCATGTTTTTGGTTGAGTTTTCGGGTGTTTGGGAGTTTTCGGGTTTCTCTTGTGTTGTTTTAGCTTTTTTGGTTCTGAGGGGGAGCGTATATACATACATACATACATACATATATATATATATATATACATGTGTGTATACACACATACGTAGATTCACGGACATACATGCAAACTGCTGATGATAACCGATATTGACGCCGAATTGATATACAGGCAGCTAGATAATTTGTTTAGATTTTTGTGAGTAAATGATGATCACCGGTCTTTTGAAAGAGTCGTGCAGCTTGCGCGCTTGCCCCGAGGCTGATACGCCCCACTTACCGAAGGTGAGTTGCCATGGCTTGCAGCTGGTAAAGAGGCCCAGAGAGCCGCTCTTTAGTGACTGCTGGTGGTAGCAGTAGCAACAACAATGGTGGTAAGAGCAGTGGCAGTGGTAGTCGTCGTCATAGTAGTGGTGGGGCTGGTAGTAGGAGGAAGAAGAGGCGGAGGAGTGGAGAAGGAGTACCAGGACTAGGAGTGGGAGTAGCAGTAGCAGTAGTAGCAGTAGTAGCAGCACTGGCAGTAGAGCAGAAGCAGAAGCTTTAGCTGTAGCGGGAGTCGTAGTCGTCGTCTTCATCGTGGTAGTCGTAGTGGCAGTGGTAGCGGCAGCTGCGACGGTAGCGGTAGCAGCAGTGGCAAGTGGCAGCAGCAGTGGCAGTGGTAGCGGGTAGTGGCAGTACTGGGTGGGAATACTGCGGCAGTAAAGGTAGTGGAAGTGCAGGAGTAGCAGTAGCAGTAGCAGTAGGAGCAGTAGCGGAGCAGCGGCGGTAGTAGTAGTAGTAGTCGTCGTCGTCGTCGTCGTCGTCATCGTAGTCGCAGGAGTAGTGGAGGTCGTAGAGGCAGTGGTACTTTGTCTTGTTCTTGTTGTTGTGATTGAGGTTGTTGTCGTGGTCGTGGTTGGTGGCTGTGGTTGTGGTTGTGGTCGTTGTCGTTGTTGCTGTTGCTCCTCCTGCTGCTGCCGCTGTTGTTGGTGTTGTTGTTGGTGTTGTTGTTGTTGTTGTTGTTGTTGTTGTTGTTGTTGTTGTTGTTGTTGTTGTTGTTGTTGTTGCTGTTGTTGTTGTTGTTGTTGCTGCTGTTGTTCCAAAATGCCAAAGCCACGGTGCAGGTGTGTCGTCCAAGACTCCGTGGCGATCGACGTGATTGCAAGCAATCCAGGCCATGTCGAGCGAAGTCAAATAAATCAAACCGCGATGCCGAGAAGCAGAGACGTTCGGCCACGGAGAGGTGCCAATGTATTTTTCAGCATGACAGGCTTAGAGGCGAAGTTAAGACGGGTTTGCAACATCAGGTGTGTGCGCGGCTGGGAGAGCCGCGGGAGGTTTGCGACATGTCAGGCACTGCCATTGATGCCGTGCTCGAGCGGCTCACCATGTCGGGCTTGCCGGAAGCCGCAGCTGGGCAGGCCCCCCAACCCTGGTCCTCTGCAGAGCGGCAGGAGACAGAAAAAGCTACTGTCCGCGTGCAGGTCACCAAGGCTCTGCTGACCCGAGCCAGGGATGGAGTCCAGAAGGACTCCCAGGCCAGGCCAGCGCTAGCACAGAGTGTAACAGAGTGGTCGGGGGGAAGTAGGGAGAACGCTACGAGCGGCTGCAGGCAAGAAGCGAGCTTGTGGAGACCTCAGAGGCAGCCATGAGTTGAGAGATGAGACAGCAAAAGAGCCCCGAGGTGGACCCCGCACAGGGTGACGAGGCGTGCTTGGCCATGGCCTCAGAGTGCGTTTGGAGACGTTTAGAGTTTAGAGTGCACGCAGCAAAGCGCGCGCTCAAAGATTGGCATTGGAGGTCCTGACGCTCTTGAACGACCAGATACCTGCGAGCAGCAGTATCTGTGCGGCCTTTGTGCGCTTGAAGGTGTCGTCGCGGTAACTTAGCGAATTCACTCCCAAGCAGTTGCTGCATCGCTGCTCGTCAGGTTGCCTTGCCCATGAATTTCGCGGCGAACACCCCTGCAGGGACCCCCAAATCCTGGGAAGGTGAGAAAAGTGGAGCGAGCGGACCTCTATGGATCCGTTGGATCACAGCACACTCTGCAGACTGAGAAGACACGGGCATAGCCGCTTTCTGAGGTGAGATTCTTGATTGCGCTGGCGTGCCACAGGCCTGAGAGGGGCCAGCCGGGCGGTTCGGAGGCGATTCCTTGTCAGCATTTCGGAACCCTCCTTGAAGATCTCAGAAGTGCATCCACAGCTTTCTGGGGAGACGGTCATCAGAAGTTCTGCTCTACCGCGCTGTACATGGAACTGCCTCACGCGCCAGTGACCGGGAGAATGACTTGACGGAGGTCAGCGAGAGCTTAGCGGCCCTTGCAGTTGACGAGGTGTTGGCACAGGGAGGGGGTGGGCAGGGCGGCCGCCCGCCGCAGCACAGCACAAAGGGTGGGAGCTTCGTGACTTGCAGGACTTGATCCTCAAGATGGCCCGGGCAAAGGATGCCTCCGCCTTCGTGGCGGCCTTCGACAGCAGACTGGGGGAGATCGTGCTGCCAGGGGCCTGGCGGGAGAGAAGCCTCAAGATTCCTCTGCTTTGTGCTGCGTCTCCGTGTCTATTCCAGGTTGCCCCACGCGCACGTGCACTCTCGGCGGAACTTCGAAGATGACGTCCTGCTCTCACCGAAGGCCTGGGAACGCGTGCGGAGCCATGCCAGGGTACCAGGGTCCCGGACTTCCGGCCGCAGTCTCTTTCGTCAACAGGGCGCGGTGCCGCAGTCACCGAAGTCGGTGCGGATGAAGCGACGGCCCTCCATGGACGAGGCGCGGTTTTCCCCTTCTGTCTTTCGGTTCTTGTGAAGCTCGGCAATGGTGCGAAAGCCTCATCGTCGCTACCTTACGTATCAGCCAGCCCAAACCGACCCGGGCACAAAGTCAGCGGCGGAGGGGGAGAAGGCTGGGAAAGCACTTCAAGTCGCACTTTCCGGGCACACGCTAGATTCATGTGCAGAAAACGGCAGCCTTTCGAACCCTTCCTGCAGTCCTGCCTTCATCCTGTGCACTCCGCACTCCTGAGAAGCCAAACTGCAAGATAATCCTCCTGATAAAGCCATAGAAGCAAGCTAATCAAAAACAAACGAAGGGTGCCAAGCCAACCCCCCACTCTTGGCCTGGTGTCAATCCTCGGCGGGTTTGAGAAAACGAAGCGAAGCGATATCGTTTCGAATGAATGTACTGGGGGTATGTGAGAGGGAGTTCAGTTGCGACATGTTGCACACTTCGGATGTGTTTCCTTAGGGAGGCGTATTTATTTTAGGATTTTTTTTTTTTGTTTTTTGGCATTTTTTTTTTTGGCTTGTGTGCGCGCTTGGCTTGGCTTCTCGGCTTCCCTGGCTTCTTGGCCTCTGGCTTCTTGGCTTTTCGGCTTCTTGGCTTTTTTCTTCGGCATAGAGAGCCTCATAAATCAGTCCTTAAGTCACGCCCTCAACCCTAAGCCGAGCCGAGGCGAATTTAGGTCAGTAAAGCGGGATAGGGGCCATGGTTTTTTTTTTTTTTCCAAGGTGCGGCCTACCCTTGTTTGCGAGGTGCGGCCAAGGGTCCCTTGTGCATGCGGTCACCTAGTCCTCTGGTCCTTGGTCTTGTGGTCCCCTGGTCCTCTGCTCGCGGTCCCCTAGTCCTCTGGTCCTGTGGTCCCCTGGTCTGCTGGTCCTCTGGTCCCGTGGTCTCCTGGTCCCCTGGTGCATGCGGTCCCCTAGTCCTCTGCCACAGCCACAACCACAACCACGGGATAGGGGTTAAAAACAAATTAAATAAGGATCAAAAAAATCAAATAAGGATCAAAAAGAAATTAAATAAGGATCACAAAAAAATTAAACAGGTATCCACGAAAGGAGGGGGGGGGGGAAACGGAGGAAAGAAGACACAGAAAGAGAGAGAGAGAGAAAAAAAAGAAAGAAAGAACGAAGGAAAGAAAGAAAGACAGAGAGAGAGAGAGAAAGAAACATAAAGAAAGAACGAAACAAAGAAAGAGCGGAAGAAAGCAAGAAAGCAAGAAAGAACGAAATACATAAAGCATAGTTATAAGGAAAGAAAGAAATCAAAAATACACAAATAGATAAATAAAGAAAGCTATAAGGAAATAAAAAGAAAACACAAGGAAAGGACGAACGAGAGTTAGAAACAAAGAAAAGCAAATAATACAGACATAACGAATGAACAAAAATGGAGAAATAAAGAGAGACGAAATGAACTAAGATGTTGTTTTGTTTTATGTTATCTTCTGTTATGTTGTATCGTCGTCTTTTATTATGTTATTATATGCTATAGGAAGCAAGGTTCTGTTATGTCAGAAAATGTCACACTATTTTTGTGATGTCGAACCATCTTATGTCGTTCTTATGGTTTACTATGTTATATTATGTTATAGAGTGCTAACGGAAGACGAGACACGAACAGGCACGGAAGAACGAAAGACCCACCGCCGCGCTTTTCGAGCCGTGCAAGCTTGATTCAAACAGTGTTTTCGAAACCCATCATGTGAGCGTTGTGTCTGCAAATGGGGGGGCTGCGCCCCCCCCAACCCCCCCGCTAACCAGAATCGCCAAATGAGGGGGTGTGTTTAAGATAGGTGATGAAGCGGAATACCAGCAACAGCTACAACACGAATTCCGTCCTAAATGCGAAATTGTAACGAAAATTTGATTTTCCCGAGGAACAACCAAAGATAACGTATGTTTTCCTTCTGAAAACCTGAAGAAATGACACGAATGCCATAAGTAATAGAAAAATGGTGTTTTTCCTAGGAAAAACTAAGGAAAACTTGGAAAACACAACGGAATCCGTAGGAAAATCATGTCTTCCAGAGGAGAAACCAAGCAAATCCTTAGGAAATGAAAGAGAATCCATAGGAAAACAGTGTTCTCCCTTGGAAAAATTCAAGAATTGCTGTATCTGAAAAGAAAGAAAGAAACGAAGACAGGACGAAAGAAAGAAAGGACGAGAAAAAGAACGAAATAAATGAAAAAGAAAGCAAGAAAGAAAGGAAGGAAGGGAGTATGAAATGAATAAAGAAAGAACACCAGAAAGAAATAAAAGAAATGAACGAGCGAAAGAAAGAAATAAATCCAGAATAAACAGGCAAAGTTGGAAAATACGAAAGAGAAAGAACATGAAAGAATCACAGAAACAAAGATACAAGCAATAGGATACTACATAGTCCAATCGAATATGCAATAATATCGTAATGGACCCTAAAATATTTAGCATAATGTAACCTGATGTTATATTATATACCAAATATTATGTTCTATATATAAAAACTATATTGTACTATGTTACAATGTACTACACTATAAACTAAGATCTTGTTTTGTTCTATGTTATCTTCTGTTATATTGTATTGTCGTCTTTTGTTATGTTTATTAGATGCTATAAGAAGCAAGGTTCTGTTATGTCAGAAAATGTCACACGGTTTTTGTGATGTCGAACCATCTTATGTCGTTCTTATGGTTTACTATGTTATATTATGTTATAGAATGCTGACGGAAGAAGAGACACGAACAGGCACGGAAGAACGAAAGACCCACCGCCGCGCTTTTCGAGCCGTGCAAGCTTGATTCATGTGAGCGTTGTGTCTGCAAATGGGGGGGGGCTGCGCCCCCCCCAACCCCCCCGCTAACCAGAATCGCCAAATGAGGGGGTGTGTTTAAGATAGGTGATGAAGCGGAATACCAGCAACAGCTACAACACGAATTCCGTCCTAAATGCGAAATTGCAACGAAAATTTGATTTTCCCGAGGAACAACCAAAGATAACGTATGTTTTCCTTCTGAAAACCTGAAGAAATGACACGAATGCCATAAGTAATAGAAAAATGGTGTTTTTCCTAGGAAAAACTAAGGAAAACTTGGAAAACACAACGGAATCCGTAGGAAAATCATGTCTTCCAGAGGAGAAACCAAGCAAATCCTTAGGAAATGAAAGAGAATCCATAGGAAAACAGTGTTCTCCCTTGGAAAAATTCAAGAATTGCTGTATCTGAAAAGAAAGAAAGAAACGAAGACAGGACGAAAGAAAGAAAGGACGAGAAAAAGAACGAAATAAATGAAAAAGAAAGCAAGAAAGAAAGGAAGGAAGGGAGTATGAAATGAATAAAGAAAGAACACCAGAAAGAAATAAAAGAAATGAACGAGCGAAAGAAAGAAATAAATCCAGAATAAACAGGCAAAGTTGGAAAATACGAAAGAGAAAGAACATGAAAGAATCACAGAAACAAAGATACAAGCAATAGGATACTACATAGTCCAATCGAATATGCAATAATATCGTAATGGACCCTAAAATATTTAGCATAATGTAACCTGATGTTATATAATATACCAAATATTATGTTCTATATATAAAAACTATATTGTACTATGTTACAATGTACTACACTATAAACTAAGATCTTGTTTTGTTCTATGTTATCTTCTGTTATATTGTATTGTCGTCTTTTGTTATGTTTATTAGATGCTATAAGAAGCAAGGTTCTGTTATGTCAGAAAATGTCACACGGTTTTTGTGATGTCGAACCATCTTATGTCGTTCTTATGGTTGACTATGTTATATTATGTTATAGAATGCTGACGGAAGAAGAGACACGAACAGGCACGGAAGAACGAAAGACCCACCGCCGCGCTTTTCGAGCCGTGCAAGCTTGATTCAAACAGTGTTTTCGAAACCCATCATGTGAGCGTTGTGTCTGCAAATGGGGGGCTGCTGCCCCCCCCAACCCCCCCGCTAACCAGAATCGCCAAATGAGGGGGTGTGTTTAAGATAGGTGATGAAGCGGAATACCAGCAACAGCTACAACACGAATTCCGTCCTAATGCGAAATTGCAACGAAAATTTGATTTTCCCGAGGAACAACCAAAGATAACGTATGTTTTCCTTCTGAAAACCTGAAGAAATGACACGAATGCCATAGGTAATAGAAAAATGGTGTTTGTCCTAGGGAAAACCAGGGAAAATTTCAGGAAATACCACGGAATCCGTAGGAAAATCGTGTTTCCCCGAGGAAAACCAATCAGATCCTAAGGAAATGAAAGAAAATCCATAGGAAAATAATGTTTTCCCTTGGGAAATTCAGGAATTGCTGTATTTTGAGTGATTCAATTTTGTTGATCCTTATTTTGTTTTCTTTTATGCCTCTGCCCCAGGAATTGCTGTATTTTACGTGACTTATTTTTTTCATCATTGTTTTAGTTTTTTGACCCTGGTGCGTTAATCTTTTGATCCTTATTTAAATTTTTTTTGATCCCTCACCCTGTCAACCACAAGCACAACCACAACCACAACAACAGCAACCAACGACAACAACAACAACAGCAACAACAGCAACAACAACAACAACAGCAGCAGCAACAACAACAACCACGACCAACAACAACATCATCAACAACAACAGCAACAGCAAGAGCAACAGCAACAACAACAACAACAACCAGGACGACGACCACGACGACATCAAGGAAACTCCGATGAACCCTCCACAGGGATCCTGCGCGTCGAAGCGCTGGCGCTGTGGTGCGGTGCAAATTTTCTACGTCCCCGATGAACCCTCCACAGGGATCGGCCAAGCAAACCACCAAAAAAAAAAAAATGAAAAAAAAAAATCCCAAACTAATTCCAGACCCA